AGCAGCAATGATGACTTTCTATGAAGCCACAATTAGTTATAGGGAGGATTTGGATCTTCCTGATTTAGTGTAATAAGGTTTACTTGTTAGTATAAAATTAAATGTTGATCAATTTTATCATCACAACATTAATTATTCAAGTTATAAAAATGACATCATCAAATCCAATTTTAATTCCTCAAGATGCAATTAAAGTAGAAAATGCTTATGAAGAAGTGTTTTTTTTGTATACTGTAGGAAACCCATTGGAATGGGAACATAATCAAGTTATATCGCAAAAAAAAGATTATATTGGGATAAGTGTTGATGGTAATAATAATAATATTAATAAATAAATTTTAAACTCAATTATTATTAAATGTCAATTATATATATATATATTTGAATTGTTTAGATCAAACAACAATAACAATCTTTCAAAATCAATCAGAACTTTCAAAGATTGGTAGTACTGGTAGTGTACTTTGGGATTCGAGTGTTTTGTTATTAAAATTCTTAATTAAACATCATGATTGGTTAAATTTTTCAATTGAAAAAACAAAGATAATCGAATTGGGTTCAGGATGTGGATTGATAGGAATTGGTGTTATGCCATTTGTTAAAATATTTATGATGACTGATCAAATTTCTATGATAAAACATATTTGGAAAAATGTAAAGTTAAATTTAAATATTAGTGATGACAAAATCAACAACAAAAAAAATAATAATAAGAAAAAAAAAAATAATAATAATAATAATAATAATAATAATAATGATATTCTTGGTACTGCTGACATAAGTTATAAAAATAGAATTTTTGCTAAAGAATTAAATTGGTCGACGGAAAATGAGAAATTAATAGATAAGGAAATTATTAATCAGAATTGGAATTATGTGGTGTCTAGTGATTGTATATATAATGAATTTATTGTTGATTCGTTCGTTGGAATGTTAATCAAACTATGTAAATCAAAAAACCATATACTTACATCTCCTTTTTTTGTTGATAATGATGGTGGTGGTAGCGACGATAGTGATAGCAATGATGGTAGAAATAAAAAAAATAACACAACTATAGTTGTAATATCTTTAAAATTAAGATCCGATAATGTTCATTTAGTATTTATGGAAAAGTTTTTAGAAAGTTTTGTGATTTGGAGAATGCCAAATTCAATGTTTGGTGATGAATTTAGAAATGGATATGTTATTTATTTGGCATGGCTTAAATAGAAAATTTTGTAAGAAAATAATATAAAATTAAATATAATAAAAAATTATTTATATAAAAATGTTTTATGTTGTTGATTAATTTTAATAATAAATATATATGTGCGTGTGTGTATATATATTAATCAATTATAATAAAAGAAGGGAGTAAAAATATATATGTGATTTACATTATTATCTCAAATAATAAAAGAAATATATATAAACTAAAAAATACGAAATAAAATGTTTTTTTAAGATAAAGATTTTTTCTTTTGAAAAAAAATATTTACCATGATTGCCCACCAAACAAATAAACTTCAACTCTAAAGAAATAAAAATTCAAGTCAGATTTATAACGATAATAATAATGATAGTAATAATAATAATAACAAAATACTAAGTATGGAAAAAATTAAATGAATGCGATGTAAGTGAAATTAAAAAAAAAATAATTGTTAGATTTTTTAAAAAAATAAAAGAGAAAATGAAATAGTTTCTTAACAATTATGATACAAAGAAAATATATGTAATAATAAAAGTCAGTGCAAATGAAAAATTAAAAAAAAAGGCTACTGAATCAGAGAAATAATTAAAATAATTCTACTATAATAAAAATAAAAAAGGATAATTGCATAATTAATATACAAAATATATAAAGTCCACATAGTAATATATCTAATTTAGGTAGGTACTCTCATGTTTCCATCATTCAATAATATTTCTGCCCAATAGAGGATCATTTGCCCAAGACGTGATGCCCAACCATCTTCTCTCAAGTCATCATAAGGCATCCAATCACTATATGGAGCTGCTCCTTGATTATTATCAATGACAAAGACCGATGTTATGATTCCAAAGAGGTAAATGACTACTGTGTATAAAGCAAAAGTTGCAGTATTATGAACTATTGCAATATTATGAACCGAATTATTTGCATTACGTGGAACAAGTGCTTTTGATGATTGGGAATCAATTTTTTCTAAAGCTTGTGCCTATATTAAATAAATAAAAAAAAGATAAATTTAATTTATAGGGAAAAAATATATATCAGATATTTAAAATAAAGAAAATACCTCTATTTCTTGACTTGGATTTACTAATATAATAATGATATATATATTAACAATAGATTTAAAAAATCGGTTAAATTTATTATCATAATGACAAACACTAACCTCTTCTTTTGTTTCTTCGCACAGAGTTTCTTGTACCTCTATGCCTTGCAAGTTCATTATTATCACCTTCGGCATTATTTCTGATTGCTCTGTCTCTTTTATCATGCAAATTTCCGTGTGGATTTCCATGTGTATTACCATTTGATGCACGATTTCTTAATATTCCTTCAATTAAAGCATATTGAACACCTAATTCTGAAGACAAAGTTTGAAATTGAGTTTCAACAAGTGGATTATTACGTGCAACTACACTTTGATCTACAAAACGGCGGGATGATCGTGAACTACTTTGTTTACGACCAGATTGTTCGATATCAGTCACACGATGCCTATCTAAGTCATTATTAGATCTTGATTGAGCATGCTCATCAATTGTATTAATATCTGAGGTATCATCTTTACGGCGTCGTGGCTATAAAGGAAAAATGGCATTATATAATTAATATTCACTTAATATTTATTTATTTATTAAGTAAGCTATTACATAATATATGTAATTTTACCTTGTTTTTTTTATCGTTTCTTATATCCTCCGTGTTAGAATCTGAAACGACTTCATCAATAGATGCAAGTACATGATCAACCATTTCAGTACGTAAATCCTATTTATTAATTAAATTAATAATCAATTACGTGTATATATATGTGCATGTATATAGTTATCTAGTTATGATATAAAATACCTTGGATGATCCAATATCACTTAGATCTAACGTTTCAGTAAGCTTTAGTCAAGGATTAAATCTTAATTAAATAAAAATATAAAAAATATCATATATATAAAAATTTATTTCGTAAATAAATGAAGGATATCCTCTATTAATATTATTATTTATTCGTCCGCTCCGTATTTCATCTAGATCCAATTTTAATTTATCAATAGTTTCTTTAAGATGCAAATTTTCCATCCTTTGTTGTTCAAGTTCTAACTCAGAATGTTGAGATGATGCAACATCTTGTTCAAGTTTGCTTATTGCAGTTTCTAAACGTTCACGTTCACCATTCCACTTTTGTCATATAATAAATATAATTTTTTAATATAATATATTAGAAATTATAAGAAAAATTATTAAAATTATCAATTACATACTTTTCTTTCTTCTGCAGCAAAGAAAGTAAGATTTCGTTCCGTTCTGGCCAATTCTTCTTCCTTCAACTTTATAATATTACTAAGTTTTTCGGCTTCCTCTATATTCATAAAATATAAAAATTACTATCACATTTTATGCTTTAGTGGTTCTTCTTTTTTAAAAAAATTTGAGTTAACGTTTGATAAAACATACCATATTTATCTTCATATTGTTTTTTAAGGTGAGAATATAAATTTTTTTGATCTGATAAATTCTTTTGAATTTTTTGTATTTCTCCTTCCAACTACGAAATATAAATAAATTATTCGAATTAATAAAAATAATATGATGATGATTAAATATAAATACAATTATTAAGATTTGTAAAAATATATTTACAGCGAAAATTTGATGCGAACTAATTTTTTCTTTGCTCTTATGATCTTGAATTTCTCGTTTTTTAGCTTGAAGGTCTGCTTTTGTTTCATCTAATTTATGTTGTAGTTCTTCAATACGATCTTCATGTTGACGAGCAACAGAAGCTAAGTGTCGTTCAGAATCTTTAAGACGTTTGGTGAGGTCAACCGTATGACGATAAAGTTTACTAAGTTGCAGAGCAGGGTCATCAATTGTCTTAATAAACGATTATATATGTTATATCATTATTATTGTTGTTGTTGTTATTATTATTATTAATGGTATATTTTATATTAAAAAAAATCAAGAATTATCCTACTTGTGACAAATGACTAATCGACTGGTCAATTCCGCCACTAGCTTCAAATGAAGTTTCTGAAAAATCATCGGAAATATCATGATAAGTTCTATGAAATGAAATAGATCCTGATGAATCATAATAACCTGGCGAAGATAATCTTCTAGAATGTGAAGATTGAATCATACTTGGAAGAAATGATTCATCGTTCTTTAAAAAAAAAAATCAAATCAAATCATAAAATTAATAAATCATTTAAAATATTAGGGGATAGGCTAAATAATAATTATTCTCCTAATACTATTACACACATCAGTATCAGGTGCAATCAACATTGGTGCATCTCGACTTCTAGCGGGTGGGGAGAAAGTTCTATTACTCCAGCCAGTGCGTACCGACCCGAATTTTGTGATTGGTCTTCTTGTCGTTACTTGTTCATTAGACAATGGTGCCGTTTCACAATTACTTGGAGCTGATAGTTTAGCTATAAGTTGAAGTACGTCATCAACAGACACCTCCATATTTGGGTTTTGCTCACAAAACATTTGAAATATTTTTCGAGCATCATCTTTTAGTAAACAAGTAGTTTGATTTTTTTCGAAAAGTTCAATCATAGAAAGTAAATCTCTTGAAATAATTCTACCGCGACCTTCTTTGTCAAAATCAGAAAATATTTGTTCTAATTGTGATTTTAAGGAGTCGTATTCATTTGAAGTCTACATTAAAGTGTAAAGGATACGTATTTATATATTAAAATAACTGTAGAAATGCGTTTAATTATTTTTAAATATAATTAAAAATTAAAAACCTGTTCGGTTGTATTAATTTCCTCGGAAGGAAGTGATTGCTGTAATTCCACCTTTGAAATAGGTGGAATATTATTTTGTAGATCCATTAGTTTTAATAATGAAAGTTAGTTTTAAGGTTTTTTAATAAGTTCTTTATTTAAAAAAAAAAAGAAAAGAAATTGTGGTTAAAAAGAAATTAAAATAATATCGTACAACCCTTATTATAACTTTATAACTATTTATGGCTTTATTTGTAACAATTAATTTATTATTTTGGTTGGCTGTTAACTATGGTGCAAAAAAAAAAATAACCACATGATAATAATAAAAAAGGAGAGCTTGACGTCTAAAGCTTTATTTCTATTTGATTTGATTATTTTATCCTATATAATATACTAAAATATGTAATCTTGGCTATCAAAAGTTAAAATATAGTTTTTTTTCTTCACAAAATTAAATAATAATAATAATCAAGAGAGTAAAAAAAAGATTATGTAAAATATAGAAGTTGTAATTTTTCTTCTATTGTCATACAAATATTATTTCATGAAAAAAAGAAAGGGTTACAAATTATTATTTTTCCATATTTTTCCCCTTTACTAATAATTCCTGCCCAAAAATATTATCTTCAACTGAATCATCATCGTCTTCAACTGAATCACCATCGTCTTCAAAATAATCATCATATCCAACTAATTCTTTGAATTTTATAAACAACAATAAATTATTTTTAAAAAATTCTTCAATCATATTTATCCATTCAATGTCATTTATGTCTTCTCTCTTGGAATAAAGTATTTCTTGAAATCTCTGCCATTCTTCTTTTGAATCAATAAAATTTCTTACCGAATCAAAATAATCTTGATGAAGTTTTACTAATTCATGAATTTCCTGATCTCGATATTTTAATGCTACCAAGATATTGTCATTGGTAACATCTATACATTTAAGTCTTCGTCCATCAATTATTTCTGATGTTAAGTTGGCATTGTTTGGTGGAAGTAAAGGATTATCAAGATTTCCAGGTAATGACGAAGATGGAGTTGTTATGTGATCATCTGCTATAAATACGATAGCTTCTGTGACCTCTGCTGTTTCAATAGCATTGTTGTTGTTGTTCTTTTGATCAATTTTTGAAACATTGATATTTTCCATTGTATTCAGAAATTTTTAAAAGCTTAATTAATATCGAAAATTATTTAATGATAATTTAAGCCATTTTACCAAGAATAATTTTTAAGCGACATTACATCTTTGTGACACCATAAAAAAAAGAATTTTATTAGACAAAAATGGGATTGGCTGGACCTAAAGTAAAGCAAAGACTATCAGCTGATCCAAGAAATCTTTCTTGGAGTAATGGTGAGTAACAAACATGCTCGTCATTTTTGTTGTTGATTTTTAACAAAATAATATAAAAGGAAGAAATTTTAAATAATTGTAGATGAAACAAAATTCGGATACAAGATGTTATCAAAGATGGGCTGGTCGCCTGGTAAAGGCTTAGGGGCAAAGGAAGATGGTAAAAACGAACATATAAAACTTTCCATTAAGCAAGATAATTTAGGTGTAGGAGCAACTAAAAAAACCATGGATAATTGGTTGGAAAACACAAATGCTTTTGACCAGTTGTTAAAAGGATTGAATCAACAAGTAGAAGAAAATCTTGTAGTAAACTTGTTTAAGGGTGAAGATGGAGATAATGTTAATTTGGATGATAAAAAAAATAGCAAACTGTTAAAAATTGGTAAAAAAAAGAAAGTAAAAAGGAATTGCAATGTTCATAAATCTATTGATGATTCATCTAATAAAAATATTTCTTTTGTACGTCTGGCGTGAGTAATTAAATTTCTTTCTAAAAAAACAAAATACAATTACAATTATAATTATTATTCATTCATTTATTATATAGACACCGAGCAAAATTCCGTAAAAGTAAACAAGCACTTAATCAAGATGGTTCACATATAAATGAAATCTTTGGAATGAAAATTAATCACAACAATGATGATGATGATGATGATGATGATGATGAACAATCATCATCCATTATTAATTCAAAAAGCAGACTATACATCAATAAAGTTAAATTTAGAGGGAAGAAAGATTCAAATCTTATAGGAATTCAAACAACAGTTAATCAAATGAACACTCAAGAATACTTTGCAAATAAATTAAAATTTATGAACATTTCAGGAATTGCAAGCAATGGTTCAGGTAACACACATGCACATATATACACGCTTGTGTGAATGTAAATTTTATAAGAAATTATCAATTAAAATATTTTAAATTTAATAAATAGGAAACTTTAAAAGGAGTTCAAGTTATGATGATAATCATATTGAAGAAGCAAATAATCATGATTCTGAAAGACCATCAAAATCATCTATTGTCATTAATCACAGAAAAAGAAAAGTTGATAGAGGCTTTTCTAATGAAATCAATAATAATGATTCTCAATCTGATTCTCTGAAATCCAAAACAAAGAGAAAAGAAAAGCATAAGAAAGATAAAGACATTTTAGTCAAAAAAAGAAAAAATCATCAAACAAAAAGAAATAAAATATCTTAGAAGTGATCAATATTATAAAATAAACTACAATTTAAATCCCATTTATGGTAGCAAATAACTTAAATATTGAAAATTGATCTAATGACTTTATTATAATGATTATATTTTCAACTTCTTTAAATCCATCTCCATATGATGTGTCTTTGATCAATTTCATCCTATTCATCCATTTACATCTTCTTAAGATATATATATGCATGTGTGTTTAAATAACTTTTGCTAATAAATAAAATATTATCCAAAAATTTAGTATATCAAGTTTATATAACAAAAACACAAAGAAGTAAATAATATTTACAAGCAAGAGTTTATACGAACATGAAACTAAGAGAAATTATAGTAAATAGATCAAGCTTTTAAATTACAGAGATTTTTTTTTTTACCAAATAAAAAAGTTTTTTTATATATATAGTAAAGACATTGAAAAAAATTGCTAATTGATAAACTTTATAACCAAATGAACTGGGGCAAAAGGCTCTGTAACTTTATTATAGAAGACTTAAACAATAGAACTATAAAGTTATCATGGTTTAAAGTTATTTGATTTATTTTGATTTATAAAATAGCATGTAGTTTATATTTTATTTTGATCATAAAGATTTTATTTCATAAAACACAAGAGGAACTTACTAATGATTTATTAAAATGGCAGAAAGATTGAAGATGAACTTGGTAACTTTTGGTAATATGTTAACAAAAGAAGAAAGATTTTTTTGATAATTTTATTGTCATTTTATTAAATTTTATTAATCTTAACAATAGTTTTAAATGATGTACAAGATGTTCTTAGAAAACTACTTTGCTGACTTGGTCTGTAGCATTATTTATTTGTATTGATCCATATGACAATAAAACAATCAAATTAATGACTAGACAAGTTTGCTAATAGAATTCTTCTAGCTTGTTAAGCATCCATTTGTTCAAAGGATTATTTCAAAGGTCAAACCATAGTATATTGTCATGTGTGCAATTAGATACCCTTGATTTTGGATTCAAGAATTGATACCAAGTTCGTGTAACCATGTTCTAATTGATGATATCATAACTAACATTAAAATTTTACAATTTAATTTTTTTTTTAATATCTAAAATACTAACCATCAGTATATCAAGTGTCTTTTGCAGCAACGATTTTGCAAAATACCTCTCTGACTTGAAAAGATGAATGGAATCCAAAGTCAAAACATTTTATATCTGGAAACCCTTTGCCAAGGTTAAAGAGACCCTCACCTTTTTTACTCTCTAGCAATACATGTGTTGCTCAAAATTGGTTCAATTTCTTTGTATCGTCGGTGGACAGACTTATACTCCCCCAAAACACAAGAACTACGCGCCAAGGCCGAACAACTGTTAGACAACGCCTTTCCAACCTTTTCTGAAACCATTTCGTCGCGCACCAATGGGACTACTTCGAATGTCAGTCCTTTGAATGTCAGTCCCTTAGGTGTTAAAATCCTATCTCCTGTTGATACTTCAATGTGTTGTCGGTGGCTACTAGAAAAATCAAATTCACCTTATGCCCTAATGTTTGCTTCTGCGAGATTAAAGAGTCTGGTCTTGGATCATTATTCAATGTTTACTGCGCAACAGAAATTAGAATTAAGTAGGGTCTTGATCAAATATTTCTAAATCTTTTGATTGATATCATTATTTAAAAAGCATTTTAACTCAATTTATATATATATATATATATATATATATATATATATTTTTTTTTTTAATAAAGGAAATTTCATATTGAATTATATGTTTCAAAAACCAAATCAACCTCCTTTCATTTTATCTTCACTTGCACAGCTTTTCGCAACAATATCAAAAGTCGGATGGTTTGATGGCGATGAATTTAAAAATATTAAGAGCGATTTAACTAATTTTATTCAGGTGATTCTTTTAGAGGCTTATTTTTTTTTTTTATTAAAAACTTTACAATTTGAAAATCTATTCATAATATATTAATACTAACACTAACATTGTTATTTATTTGTATTCAGGCTACATATGAACATAGAATTATAGGTTTACAAATTTTAGGTATAGTGGTTGTTGAATTTAATCAACCTTCTTCAAGGAATTTAGCAAGACAAAGAAAGACAGGTAATGATCATTGATTTTTGATTCTTTATTTGATAAACAAACATAATGCTGGTTATTCTTACACGCACATACATTCATATATTGATTTAATATTAATAAAGCCATTGGATTCAGAGATGCGGAATTATTGGATATTTTTCGGTTAGGGTTGGATGTTTTGCGACAAATATTAAGTGGAGAAATGCAATCTACAGATGGTGCATGTTATTTTATTTACTTGTATATATATTAATTTGGTTCGCGATCAATAACAATAATTATAACCCATATAGAAAACCAAGAATGTAGAATGAAAGATTATTGTTTGACATTGCTTCGCAATTGTTTGGCATTTGATTTTATTGGTACATCACCAGATGAATCTGGAGAAGACGTTGGAAGTATTCAGGTGTGTGAATAATCAAATCTCGTAAAAATATTTATTTTATATTAAGTATTATCATCTACTTTATAATTATAATTTTAGGTCACAACACAATGGCGGTCCACAATAGAAGATCCGACCTTTTTACAAATGATGTTTGGAAGTTATAAACGATTTCAGTCGCCACATTCAAGTCATGTAATACTAATGTCGATAAAAGTTTTATTTATTAGTTATTATTATTATATTTTTTAATGAACGGTTAAAAAAAATTTTTTATAAAGGTTATGGAAGTTCTAGTACAAATATCTTCAATCCGTCGTTCACTTTTCAATGAGGAAGAACGTTCTAAGTTTATTACTGCTCTAATGAAAGGGATTAGAGAAATACTAGTTTCATCTATAGGTTTAGATGATTTAAACAATTACCATGAATTTTGTCGCCTTCTTTCTAGATTTAGATCTACTTACCAATGGAGCGAAATTGCTGAGAAAACTGAATACAGTGAATGGATTGATTTGGTAGCTAGATTTTCTATAAAGGGCTTTGAGAATTGGCAGGTGCTTATATTATTAACTATAACAAACTCCCGAAATAAATCATTAAAATCAGTAAATATAATAATTTTCTTTTTCATATTTAATTTGTTTAGTTGGTTCCAAACAGCGTGCAGTATTTACTTGCATTTTGGTCGAAAATGCTTTCATCCATGGGTAGTGCACGAAGTCTTTCTGTAAATAGACTTGAGCTAATTGCATCTGAGGTATAATAGCAATTTTTAAATTACTCGACTTACATTATATTGTTTAATTATAATTATATACATTAATAATAATTTAGTTAACTTATGCATACGTTACTTCAAAAATTGAGTCGGTCGAATCAGTGATAGAGGGAGTAGTAGATGGTAAGTTTGGAAGAAGAAAACAATTTACTTATAAAATTTTTTTAAAAAAATTATTTTTGGTTGAAATTGTTTATTACAGACCCATTAGAAAACGAAGAAGCATTGATGAATGACTTAGAGATGTTTGCTGTTATTGCTAGGTGTAAATACACTGATTCAAAGACAGCCATAGTTAATTTTTTTGATCCTAACGCTCAAAGATATCATGTAATATATACTATTTATGTTTATTTAAATTTCATTTATGAATGATATTTATATACATATACACACATATATAGGAATTGATAAATCAGACTATTTCTGGAATTTCTGCTAATAACTTAATGCAAGAATTAGACGTTATTGAAAGTGAGAATATTTATATATATTTTAATATAAATAAATTCTTAAAATATTAATTAACACTATTTTAAATTTAGCAAAATTTGCATGGTTAGTGTATATGATTGGTGGTTTGATCGGTGGCAGACAAGTAATCATATTTATATATATATGTAAATGGTTTTCTACAATTATAAATCAACTTGATTGATTAATTGTATTTTATTTTTCATTTAATAGACATATAGCAGTACAGAAGATCAAGATATCATTGATGGTGAATTAACATGTAAAGTTTTACAACTAATGAGTGCTAATCAATCGTGGAATGCGCCGGTAATATACGAGTAATCATATTTTAAAATAATTTTCTAATGAATAGTTATTGACATTATTTCTTTTTGGGGCGGAAATATAAATATGTTAATATTAGCGAGGTAGTGGAAACGGATGTGAAAAATTAGAACTGTCTTTTGTATATTTTTTCCAACAATTTCGAAAAAGTTATATTGGTGAAAGTTCTCAAAGAATTTCTAAAGTTTATAGTAAATTATCTGAGAATCTTGGAATAAATGATCAAAATATGGTATATTTTTAATATTTATATATTAGTAAGATTTCAATGTACAAATTGATTATAAATATATTTTTTTTAATTAGCTTCTTGAGATTATTGTAAGGAAAATGTAAGAAATTTTATATGCATAATTTTTTTTAATAATAATCGAAAAACAAAATTTTAAAACCTTAAAACCATCTTTTCTAGAGCAACAAATCTCCAAACGTGGGGTGATAGTTCAAGTATTGTTAAACAAAGTGTGACATTGCTTAATGATTTGGCTGGAGGGTATTTATTTTTCCCAATATAATGATAATAATAATTTAATTATAAAATATGCCTTTTGGATGACTTTTACATATTTTTTAATTAAAATAGTTATAGTTCAGTTAGGCTTTTACGCAAAATTGAAACCACTCAATTGATTGTTAGAAATCATACAGCAAAAAATTTTTCTTTTCTCAATGTTAGCGATAATTTAAGAATACGTATGGTATATTACTCTGCTCTTTCAAGAATACTTTTTGCAGCAGAAGATAATATAGAAAGAGATTTTGAGGAATTTGTTAAACCATGGGACGATACATTAAAAGAACTTCGTAGTTTAAATTCACTTGTCGCATTCAGACAACAAGCGATTAAGGTTATTTTTATTATTATTATTATTTTATAAATAATTTTTCTTACCATTAAAACATTTACATTATCCATATATATATATATATATATATATATATATTTGTGTGTAAATAGTCAACTTTGGCTTGGATTTTTCGTGATTTACGTGGATTCCTTTCGGCCATTCAAAACAGAAAAAACTTTTTGGTTTTTTTTGAATGGTTTTATCCTGATCATATGCAAGTTCTTTATAATGCTTTAGAAGCATGTTCTAATGATACTCTTTCTGTAACTTTTCTCAAATTTTTTCTCGAATTTGTAAATAATCGTTCTACAAGATTAAATTTCGACATTTCATCTCCAAATGGGATACTGATATTTCGTGAAACAAGGTACAATTAGAATTAAGCGATTTCTAGAATCTTTATTATTTCTTTATGAATAATCTTAATTGATTTTATTTCATTTAATTATAAAAAAGCAAAGTAATATCATTGTATGGTAAGTACTACAATCATCAATTAATACATATGCGCGTGTTTTTGTGTGTATATATATATATCTGATTAAAATATTCATATTAACATGATTTTCGTTTTTTATTAGGACGACATGTTAATAATCATACTTTCATCACCCAAGATAAATATACAGAATTGTAGGTATTATAATATATAAAATATAACTAATTACAATATTAATCATTTATTTATTATTTATTTATTTAACAGATATAAAAGTATATCGGTTTGTTTTAACATCTTGACAAAATCTTTTGCTGGACGTTATGTTAATTTTGGTGTTTTTGAATTATATGGCGATAAAGCTCTCGAGATTGCTTTAAATACATCATTTGATATGATCCTTAGGGTTTCAATTGATGATTTACTTGTATGTTTTTTTAAAAAAAAATTTTTTTTTAAAATCTTACCAAAATATTAATTGTAATTAATCCTTCTCGTAAAATTATTAGCAATACCCAAAGTTGTCTAAAGCATATTTTGATTGGATAGATACATTTACAAATGATCATATGATGTCTTTACCGGATATGAACTCAAATGCATTGATTTACATTATGCGATCCTTAGCGGAAGGAATCCAAGAACTTGATATCCTTTTATATTTTCTTTTTGGCTTAAAAATTTAAATTTTATTGAATCTTTAATTTTTTTTTTACATGGATCTCCGTGCTCTTCAGCTTGTAATGCGATCGACCATATATTCACATTTGTTATTCAGCAATCATCTAGGTCAAAACCTAAACCACATTGGCTTCTTACTTATCTAAGTCGTTTTCCAGATATATTACGCTATTTATTTGTAGTGAACTTTAATGTAGTGTTATTTGAAGAACGACAAAATCAATGGTCTCTGTCACGTCCTTTATTATGTCTAATATTACTTAACAAAGATGTAAGGGTATATTTTTTTATGTTTTGTTTTGTTTATTTATTTATATTAGTTTTTAATATTTTTTTTTTATTTTTTTGAAAAGTATCTAAATGAGTATACACAAACTCTTCTCCAATATCAATTGCCGGAAAGAAGATCTGTTCTTCACAAAGTAATTTATATCTATTTTTATTATTACGTTAATATTTATTAAGATAAAGCTTTAATAAATAAATTTTGTCTTTATTTAAAGGCTCTTTCAACTCTTATGGATGATGTTGAATCTAATTTAGCTTCTAAAAATCGAGATAGATTTACTCAAAATCTCACTACTTTTAAACGAGAATTAACAAATGAAAACGCTATATTGGTTCAACCACCATTAGATCCAAGTTTATCCATGTAGTTAGAATTGAGATATACATATATAATTAATATTTTATATTTATTATTTCCATATATAGCGATGTATTTTATGATATTTTTAAAATTTCTTTTTTTTTTAATTATTCAATGAATTTTATAAATAATTTATTTTTTTATTTCTTTTTGTTAATAAACCTCATACTCAAATAAAAATAATAAGCTCTCTCTATCTTATTTGGCCTCAAAAATCTCGACTAAAATTCGAATAAATTATAATGTTTTTTAACAAGTGGAAGTCAACATCATATAATGAATGACCAATTATCAGGGTCTCATTGGATCTGTGATATTGAATGTCCAGTGTAAATTGACTGGTGTTGATGGTATATAAGAATTGAGATATGGCACACAAAAGCCCAATTATGTATCCATTTAATAATTGGATATAACCATTTAATATTTATTTAAACTAGATATAATGAATTTATAATCACCACTGCAACTGCTGTTGTTATTTTTTAATTTTAACTTCCAACAAATTATTCGGCTTTATTATTTAGATTATCATGATCATCTTTACAATGAATAAGTTTGTTATAATCATCTAATAACAGCATCCTTCTAAATAAGTAATACGAAGAAATGATTTTTGATCCTGTTTTCCAAATCACCCAGAATATAAGATCCTCGGGAATTAAAATCTTTAGATAATTATCTTCAAACAATCTACCCTTTTATCAATTCACCTACATCCGATGATTATCTATCAGAAAATATCTTGAACAGTATTGTTATGTTCATAAATCTAATTCGAGGGCCTTTGCACATTCTCTGAATACAAGAGAAACCACCATAAATCAATTTTTCATAGTTTTTAAAAAGAGAAAAAAACCTTGCTATGAAACCTCGACCATTAATGACAGGCTTTTGCTTTATCTCGTTCACTCTGAGTGGATGATAAATACACCTAAAAAAGAAGATAGTTTTATTTATTTAACGTAGAAATGAAGGTGACTACATTACTAACCGGCTATCGTACTGGTTATCTGCCAGTTTTGTTTTTGTTAATTGTGGTTAGGGATATTACCAGTCTCCAAGACCTACAGTTTAAATGTCAACATTGTCTTAAGTATTTATCATTAAATGGTGTTGAATATTTAGTAAATTTATAGACTACCTATATTAAATGAGGAGGAAGAAAATAAATGCCATGATGAAAATATTTAATCTGGGTAATTAATTTTAACAGATAATTTACAAAAAAATTTGACATCTGTTTATTTATAATAATTCGATAAATATTTATTTAAATTGAGCATACAATAGCTTGTTTAAAAGCCTAAAACCAAGAATGTTATTGATATATATATTAATAATTGATTCATTCGCCGTTACTATCAATTATCATCTGGAAACGATTATTCATTGACAAAACAAGGTTAGACAACATAGAACTTGTAATTTTTTCCCATTCCTTGACCAAACACTGCCGCAACTCACTAATATTTGCTGGCATACGCTTTTCTACATTACATTTGACAAGTTTTCTATGGGATTAAGGTCTGGGCTGTTAGCTGGCCAACCGATAACTTCAGGGAAGTACTCATCAAGGAAATTTTTGGCAACCCAACTAGTGTGCTTCGGGTCATTGTCTTGTTGGAATCTCCACTGGTGCAAAATTTCAACATAAAATTGAAAATTGGCAGAGCCTTAGCATTTTGAAAATTCTGAATTTTGTTATACATTTAATTGAGACCAAGTAAATTTCGTGTAACAAGTTTTTTTTCATTGAATATTTTCTACAACATACATTTGATTTATTTGATTTATAAAAAAAGTTTAACGAACATATTACATTAAAAGAAAATCATTACCAAATTTGGTCGTGAGATTTCAAAATATTGCAGTCAGGATTATTACCAAATATGGAATTTCCAAATACTGTAGGGATAGACAATCTAGAAATCTTTAGAAAAAAAAAATGATTGGCTAATTGTATGCAGATCTTTTATTCGAAAAAATAAATTAATAAATAATGCTTTTTATGAAGAAAACTTGGCGAAGGCTTTATTAAATGGTCATATAACCTCCAAAATTTATGTATTACGTTTATTTTTAACTGCATTACAAGTCTATCAAAAAATAATCTTCAAATTATAATCATAAAATTACCATAAAAATAACTTTTTTCATAATGGTTAAATATACTGATGAAATGTTTGAGTTATCAACCTGTCACTCATTCATCAAGAATCTTGTTATTAAAATTAATAAAATTAATAAATAGTATCATGGGGGATTCGTGTGACCGAGGTATGTTTTCCAATATTTTGAATCTCACGAAAATTATTGTTGCACTTCTGAGCATAACTTTCAAATTTAAAAAATCTATGAAAAGAAAATATGAGACAAATTTTTTTTTAGATTAATAGACTCTATTTTTAAAGCTGAATTGAATGGTGGTGGATTTTTTAAAATCCAATGTATAGATCACAAAAATTTTTAACTTGAGATGATCCGCACTGTATAGACATATATAAAATAGCCCAACTTTGAAGCCCTATAATTCAAAAGTAAACTGATGGAAATGAAGTTTAGGTCTTTAGCTTTAATTCTATCAGTTTACTTTTTTCTTTTTCTTTTTCTTTTTAATAAGGAGTTATAAGCTTTTGACCGTTATAGATGTCCTGCACTATACTCGATCTAACAGATGTAGTGATATTTAGAAATTATTTGCTAAATTTGTACTAGTTAAATATCAGTTAGGGATACTAGAAAAGCACAGGGCACAGGGATCTGCAAAATTCGCCTGTCCCCTGTGCTTTTCAAGATTTCACCATCAAATCTAGAAAAGGACAGGCGAGT